CCAAATGTCCATCAGTGACAGACTGGATTAAGAAAATGTGGCACATATACACCATGGAATACTATGCAGCCATAAAAAAGGACGAGTTCGTGTCCTTTGTAGGGACATGGATGCAGCTGGAAACCATCACTCTCAGCAAACTATCGCAAGAACAGAAAACCAAACACCGCATGTTCTCACTCATAGGTGGGAACTGAACAATGAGATTACTCGGACATGGGAAGGGGAACATCATACACCGGGGCCTATCATGGGGAAGGGGGAGGGATGGCATTGGGAGTTATAACTGATGTAAATGACGAGTTGATGGGTGCTGACGAGTTGATGGGTGCAGCACACCAACATGGCACAAGTATACATATGTAACAAACCTGCACATTATGCACATGTACCCTAGAACTTAAAGTATAATAAAAAATAAAATAATAAAATAAAATAACAGAAATGTATTCTCTCACCAAAAAAAAAAGCTGAGCAAAAATCAGGAATAGTATATTTATGAAAATAAAATTTGAGCAATGTAGTGTATCTGTATATTATCTCCTATTGGACAAGCTCATATAAATTTTATCCACACAGCTGGCCGTAGTGATCTGCATTGATTATATAATAAGGCTTCAGCTATCCAGACAGCAAATAAGCTGAATTACTCACAATGTAGCCCCAGAGAATGAGCGAGGAGACTACACACAAATTGTATCATAATGTAGTAATCATACTTTTTAATTAAAAATATAAAATATTTCTCAATATATTTCTCAGACAGTTCAAATGCTGATGGATCCAATTCAAAACCAGGTATTTGGACACTCTACTCTTAAATAATTCTTAAGTTTATTTGTTTCTCATCAACCACTTTTTTACCTATTCTATTTCAATAGTCCCTTCACCCATCCCCGATCCTCTGCACTACAGTAGAATGTACCCAGGCAGTGACATGTAGAAGTTAAGAGAGCAGGCTTTGTTTAAACAGCCCTGGTTTAAAATCCCAACATGCTGTCACTTAATAGATGGATGATGTTGGACACATTCCTTAACTCCTTTATTTATAAAATGTGAATAATGGTAGTATTTCATTCACAGTGTGTTTTTAAAGATTAACTATGATAATGCATATAAGCAAGCATTCAACTCATAACTTGATGATCATGATTGCCAAAACAATTTTTTAAAATATAAATTCAGTCCAGCCCTCCTTTGCTTAAAAAAAAAAAAAAATCCTTCAATGGCTTTCCATCACCAAGAGACAAATAACAAATCCCATGGCAGGTAGAGTCCCTCGTGATTGAGAGGTATCTTCCCTTTGAGCCCCTTCCATCATTGTTTTCCCTATTAAGCACATGTCAGCCACACTGAATTACTATACTTGTACCCTATCACTTCATACATACGACCTTTGTACATACCCTTCATTTTATTTGGAATGTCCTCTCGCCACTCTGCTTCTTCTACAGGGCAAAACTAACATTACAAATTTAACTTAAACATACTTTCTCATTGAGGAGAGTTCCCTGAATTATTGGAACCTCTCTCCGTCTCTCTAGAGGACTCTATGTTTCCCATATCCACATTCTCATTGTCTGGTAGACTGCCAGACATATACTACACTCCTGATTATTGTCTATGGAATGAATTTAGGCTTCAAACATCAGTGAAGTTTTTTTCCTAAAGAGAAATTTATCTTATGAACAGCTGTTAGATCTCAGAACAATTTTAAAGATGTGTTGAGTTTCATTAACACCTCTGCTATCTAAACTGATAGAAATTATAAAACAATAACAACACAGATATGTTTTCTAAAAATGTTGACAAATAATTTGCATATTAGGCATGTTTAAACACTGACTATTGCTCAAGACGAAGTTGACTAAAAATTCTTGAACATTGCTATCGTTTTGATGAGAATCATAAAAATAAAGGATAAATTGATTAAATGCCAGAATAATAGACACAATTAAATGATATAGCTATTCTATTCTTTTTTAAATATTAGTTTTAGCAGCTATTTAGACTTTAAAGAACAAGCTTGCTATACTGTTCTGTAGAAAGCACCAATTTATAGTGCCCAGAGCTATTATGAAACTAAAAGTAGCATAGATCTTTTAAAACAGTATTTTTTTCCTCTCTAAAGAGTAGTGAGATTCAGGAGTCACCTGTTTTTTGGGTTTTATACGTTTTTGGGACGTTATAAAATAACTTGAAGAAAATAAATTTCATTTTAACTGTTTTGCTGGTAAATTTTAAAGTTTCCTAAAATGATGCATATCTTGAATAACAGTTCATTAAAATTTTTAATATGCCAGCTAGATCTAGTCACGTTAAAACTTTGGGCATATGATGACTGCGATTTTTAGATCTTTTAACTGTGCAAAGGCCAAATAACAAGGTTCAATAGAAAAATAATATCTAGTGTTTAAGTTATGTAATGCAAAAATATTAAGAATTTTTTGACCACATATAGGATAGGATAGCGGGATTCTTGATCCTCAAAGCATACAAAATCATCCCACTATGAATGTCACTGCATGGAAAGACAAAACACAAGCTCTTTGTCTCCATGGCCTGCCTGAAAATGAGTTTACCCAGCCAAGGCTGTAGTTATGGAGCAATTAACTTTCCCTTCTTCAGACCACTGGAAGTTTGAGAGGTGGGCTACTCATGTGGGAGTTAACTGGCAGCACTGGCAGCTCCCTTTGCCTTCCTTAAATCTCAGGAAAAGTGAAGCGAGTGGTGTCCTGGCACAGTGAAACTCAATCCCAACCCCATCCCTCAAACTTCCTCTGCACTTGCAATGCACATCACTTTGTGTAAAATCAGGTAATGGAGAACCAGGATTTACTAAAACAGGAATTGCACCTTCTAGTCAATGAGAATGAACGTATCCTATTCAACGTATTGAGAAATATCAGAGCTGTATGAAGATGCTTGTTGTTTAACCAGGCAAACAGAAAACTATGGAACTAAGCGTTCTTACAAGTTCTGGTTAATGCCTGTTCCCCATCTGAGATATGCCAATTACGTTGTGCCTATGTTGACACTTCTGTTCTCTATGTGGTTTATATTTGGGTCTTAAATTGAGTTAATTGTAGCCAGGTTAATTATATTAGCAATACATATGTACATACAGACATTATAATGGGAGGAAAAAAACAAGATCTTTGATGTTTGTAAATGATAATATTGACCATAAAGAGGCTGTCTTTATTGAATAGGAAGCCGACCACAACCACCATCTACGTATAAACATCTGCCCAAGTACACAGTTTACAGAACAAAATCTATTCATAGTCCTCACGTAAACAAGATTTCTTCCTAAACAATTTTGTCAATATTTCTTGGCACTCACATCTGTCACCAACAAAATTTTCTACATGCTCAAACTGTCTTCTGAGTGTTCCCTTCACCTTCCTTATCTGAGGGAAACCTGGCTCTCCCCTGAAATTCTTTCCCCGGCAGCTCTCTCAGATGGAGCATTTTTTCCTCCCACAATCATCTCGTCTTTAGATCCGACGATCTAAAGATCACCGGAGAAGTTATTACTGATAATTACCATTTCCAAATGCTTACCTTCCTTACTCCCTAAAAAACCTCATTTTTGAAGCTCTTCCTGTCCTATTATAAGATTTGCCACAGTGCATTTCCCTGGGCTATTCCTGTCATTTGTTAAAAGTTTCTTTTAGCAGAGGACTGTCACTCTATCCTATGTGATTGTCATTTGTTCTTAGCAATTTCAGTATCTATGTGGACTGTTTTTCCAACATCTTGGCCTCTCAGTTCCTTGACTTCTCTGCTCCAAAGATCTTGCTCTCTATCCCACACTAACTACCCACTCTCATGCTAATATCCTAATATTGATGCTTCCAATAACTGTACCCCTTCTATTATCTCAGGTGCAATCATCCTACTTTTTGACTAATGGTAATACTTCCTATTTTTCTAGCTCACTATCTCTAGTACTCAAATTCCAATAATTCCTTGGTTATACTGGAATTTTCTACTTTGTCTTTGACCCTAATTCCATTCAAATTTTTACTTTCCTGCTTTAAGCTTATATTCCTTGAACTCTGCGTATAACTTCCTATTATATATCCTCAGTCACCTGCCGCTGTGCTCTTAGACATACTCTCCTCACCAAACTCCAAACTTAGTTGGATCCAACTCTTTGCCTACTCTATGTATAACAATGCCCTAAACATTACTGGAGAAAAGTACTCAACCATGCTGATCTTAATTTATATTCATTTCTTTTATTTATAGTATTTTTATTCCATCTTATTTCTTACTCTCCAATTTTGACATTCTATAATTATTTTTCTTGCTGTTGATGTTTTTTTCATAAAGCCTGTGATGATGTAAATGAGCCCTCATGTTAACCAATATGTCTATATTAATAAAATCATACAGCGTATATTCTTTTCTGGCTGGCTTCCCCTACTTGGCATAATTATTTTTAGATTCACTCATACTGTATCATGTATTAATTGTTTATTCATTTTGTTGGTGAGTAGTATTTCACTGTAACATAATTTGTTCTTCTATTCAGCTGTTGATGGATACTTAGATTGTTTCTAGTTTTTAAATATTTTAAATAAAGCTACAATGCACATTTATCTACAAGTTTTTTGGGGGCTCAGGTGACCCTTCTGCCTTGGCCTCCCAAAGTTCTGGGATTACATGTGTGAGCCATGGCACCCAGCCAGATCACATCTTTTTATCACTAAGTAACTTGAAACCCATGAGTGGTAATTACTCAGTAAGATCACTGGGTAATTATCTGGATATACTGCAGTTTATTTATCTATTCACTTATTGCAGGATATCTTGCTTCCTTCCAAGTTTTGGCAATTATGAATAAAGCTTCTGTAAATACTTATGTGCATATTTTTGTATGAATATAAGTTTTCAACTTATTTGGTTAAATACCTAGAAATGTGATTGCTGGATCCTACAGTAAGACTATGTTTAGCTTTGTAAGTAATCACCAAGCCGTCTTCCAAAGTGGCTGTACCATTTTGTATTCCCACCAGCAATGAATGACAGTTTCTCCTGTTCCACATCTTCATCAGCATTTGATGTTAGCAGTGTTTGGATTTTCACCATTATAATATGCATGTAGTAGTGTTGCATCATTGTTTTACTTTGCAATTCTTTAATGACATAATGTTCATCATATCTTCATAGCTTCTTTGCCATTGGTATATCTTCTTTGGCGAGGTGTCTATTCAGATTTTTTTGCCAATTTTTCAACTTATATAGTTTTCTAAAAAAAATTGTTGAATTTTAATAGTTACTTGTGCATTTTGGATACAAATCCTAATTTTTTATTATGAGTTGATGCTTTATCTGTAGGTATACTGTGAGGTCTAGGGGGAACATGTATCATCATTGACTAGAATTGTGCTTGCTTCTGTTCTACTCTGTGGGGCAGAACAGATCCCTGATAAATTCAGTTTCTTAACTAGATGTCATCTAGACATCTCTGTTGTAGTAAATTCAAATTCTATAGCTGAATGAGAAAAGATTGTAACTGCAAGTTTTTGGGAGGAACCTATTTTCTCATCCTTAGCTGGGGCTGAAACTGACAAAGGCCCCAATGTATTAGACAGGGCCCACCAGAGAGACAGAACCCACAACATCAACAGCAACAACAATACATATATATATATAAAAAATATATTTTTTTAAAAAAAATATTTTTTAAAAATATTTTTTCCTTTCTTTTTTTTTTGAGACAAAGTCTTGCTCTGTTGCCCAGGCTGGAGTACAGTGATACAATCTCGGCTCACTGCACTCTCTGCCTCCCGTGTTCAAGTGATTCTCCTGCCTCAGTCTCCCAAGTAGCTGGGATTACAGGCACCCACCACCATGCCCGGCTAAATTTTGTATTTTTAGTAGGGATGGGGTTTCACCATGTTGGCCAGGTTGGTCTGGAACTCCTGACCTCAGGTGATCCACCTGCCTTGGTCTCCCAAAGTGCTGGGATTACAGGCATGAGCCACCACGCCTGATCTAAGTCTGATTTCTCTTAAACCTTTGCAGTCCTTACACAGAGTAGGCATTCAATAAAGGTTGTTTGACTTTTAAAAAGTCTAATATTGAATGATGAAATAAACGAATGATGTGGTTGACCCATCATATAGCTAAGCCAAATAGATCCTTAAAATAAAGTTTACTTTTAAGCTGAGAGCTTGCATTCTCACTAGTAATTGAAAATACAGCCTTCAAATACAGCTGGGCATTTCTATTTGGGGAATAGCTTGTGAAGCTCGGGAACAATGTTATATATTAATTCTCTGGGAATGCTTGGTATACAACCACCATACAGGTGTTTCCTGTTGAGACTCCAAGTTCCCATGCAAGAACTTAGAGGACAACTGAGAACAAAACTTAGCCTGCTTAATTATATCTGCCCAGTGTGCTGCATAAAAAAGTCATTGACCAAAAATAACATGTTTAAGTAATGTTCAAGTTGAGATACAGAGCAGCAGCAGTCAGGAAATTCAAAATTAAATCTGATCTCCACCCTTCACTTGCCTCATTGTGCCCAGGCAGCACCAAGGTCAGAAATTAATTGGAGAAACTGCAAAACACATAGCCTGCAATATTTCAGCACAGTAAGGTCAAGGGGAAAATTTAGTTAAAACCTTATTACAGTAGTTTACAGAAACACATTACTGTGAATATGAAATTAGAGTCTTGGCTTGATGGATGTGTCACCTACCAGGGTAATTTGTTGGGAATGATTTGAAATGTAAGTGAACATAATTAGGCTTCTGTTTTATGGTAGTCTGGTCATTTGTCTCCAGGTGCACTTGTCTCTGTAGATTTGACACTGCAGATGCCTAGAATATAATGAGGCATGTTTCAGTCACTCAGTTTTAAGTTAGTATTTGGGCAACTGTGGATTACAAGAGGACCTCAGAGTTGACCATAAAGTTGCAGTTAATATTTTCATGCATAATTTTTTTTCTGTAGAATCCTAAGTATAGGATAAAATCTCAAGGGTAATATTACCTTGAAAGCCAGTGGAATACTACAATACTACAGTGAAGCCCTTAGTCAGACTTCCCTAAAATGAAGGAAGCCACACCCACCTGGAATTATAAATGACTACCTGATTATTAAGTATGTGAAGAAAAGTATTCTCTGGATTTTAGACCACCCTTTAGGTATATTAATACTTTTCTTTTAGAAGTCTTTGTAATTCTGGCCAAGTTTATCAATGTCTTCCTATTTATTTGAGACACTGCTGCTTAGTGTTAATTGCAGTATCTTCTTTAAATACAGAAAACAATATATCTTTTCTTTAAGAAGCTTAAGGAAAAGAGTAAAAGGGAAACAGTTGTAGAAAATCAGAGAGTATCAGAATTTGATTTCTTTCATACAATGTTTAGTCATCTATGATATACTAATTGAAGATTGTTATTTGATTTACACTAAAGATTCCAATTATGCCTACAAAGGTTGAAAGTGAAGATAAATATACCGTTAACTCAGAATAGCTGTTTCCTAAATCATTGTTATTTCTCTTTTCATTATAAAATTTAAACTAGAATAATTTATTTTGAGTTTAAATCACCTTTATTTATTTTTAATTATTCAAAATAAACATTGTCCCAAAAATAGATTTAGGTAACTTTTTAAAAGACATATTAATTGATATTCATATTTGTAATGTGTCTTTCAAAGTGAGATTGAACATTTCTAATACATTGTGCTCCAATTAGCAACTGTTCATGGATGTTGCAACTGCCTATATTACTTGGTATGGAAAAGATAAAATTAACCAGAAAAAGTACCATAAATTAAATATTCCTTTAAAAGTCAGATTAAGTAAGAAAATATATTTCATTGCTCTACAATATTTTTTAAAATACAGATAAACCTAAACTTGTTTCAGAATTAAATCTGTTGTTTAATTTCTACATCACATGTATGAATGAGTTTGACTACTGGGGTTTCTGTGTTTATTCTTTTCTCAAGAGATCTGGGAGAAGGGATCATTATGAGGTTGTGCCATGTTGCTAGGCAGACGGGTTCAGCATTCAGATATTCTAGCTGTTCTAGCAACTTTTCAGTTCTCTGACTTTCTCATTAAATTTTTGTCTACTGTCTTCTATACTTCTAAATAGCGGACACACACATAATGATAAATGTGTTATGGGAATGACTAGTTCCCTCTCTACCAGGGAATTACATAAGAACAATTCTGTATTCACCATTTTCAGGCACAAAAGCAGAATAAAAGCCTACCCCAGTGTGACCTGCTGCACAAAATACCTTTTGTTATCAACTTAAGTGCTCTTCTGAATCCTCAAACCACCCATTGACAGATTTTCTTTTTCCCACATACATAATTTATAAGTCATCTAATTAATTTTTCATAAGTTAAACAACTGTTAATATTAGTTCCTGGCCTTCATGAATGGCAAAAATTAATTTTTTCCCTAAATGCATTTGCAGTGCCTTCTTCACTTTCTCCAATGCTATCCAGAGCAGAGACTTGAATATTTGGAGCTTGAAGTTGAGGAGTGGTTTTAGAATTCAGTCTCTGGGCAGACAAAGGCTTTCACACTGTGAGCGAGTCTTAGTGGAAGATTGCTGAAGGGAAAATCCTGTACCACATGATATATCACTGACCACTGACCTTTCTCCTCTGTCCTTGTTACACAGAGAACTGAACCCCTTCTCTGTCTCCATTTATGAAGTATTTGACAATGACTGATAGTTTTGTGGTTTTCGTAGTTGCCATTGCATTAAAATGCAGTTGCTGTTACATGGAGTCTCAGAGAGCGACAGAGTAAATCTGAAAGGAGCAAGGAAAAAATAATACAAAACCTTCATGTGTCAGAATACATCAAAACACACCATCTCAAATTATGAGTAACTCTTAAGTTTCTGGTACATAGCAGGAACGAGGAACAAGCATCGACTACAGAAAATAAAACTATTTGAAATACAAACCTGGGATGGTCTCCTGGCTCCTGGGTTGAAGGGGAGAGGTTAGATGTTAGACCACATGGAGAGACTTTGATGGCTTTTCTCTTCTCATTTGGGTCTGAGATAGGACTAAAATCCTCAGTTTGAGATCAGACAAGGGGCTAGTAACCTGATCCCAAGAGTTAAGTAGAAACCCACCCAAAAAGTGGTTAGAAAGTACAAGAAGACCTCAGCTCCTGCCTCTCCTCTCTAAAGTCACTAAATCCAATGGACACCCTAATGTGTCTCCTGAATCTGTTTGCTTCTTTCATACTCACAGCCACTACTCTAGTTTGGCCACTATAATCTCTTCCCTGGATTCATTCCATCACTGGTAACCTGACAGCCCATCTCTTCTTTCCCTACTCTCTTACATGAATAAACATCCTGCAGCACAAAACTGTGTCTCTATCCTGCTTAAAACCCTTTATTAGCTTTCCGGTGCTCCTAGGATGAAGACCAAAACCCTCCACGTGACTTATAAGGCTGTGTGTACTAACTCCTGTTCACACCTTGTTCCAGCAGTGAGAAAGTCTACACAAACCTACCTCCAACAGCCCAGGAAGCTGAGACACTGAAGAAAGAGACTAACAAATACAGTTTCTTAGAAATAAATATTTAATAGGGACATATGAACAGAAGCCACGTCTGCATCTCGGTTGACCATGAGACAAGATGTTGGATCTTCTCACTGTTACCTCGTATACTCAGGGTTTATAAACCATAGAGAAGGAATGTGTAGGATAATTGAACTGGACCCCTCAATGAAAGGCAAGAATGCTATGTTAATCTGCCTAAGGGCAGGATGTATGGTCAAGGTTGTTGTGACCTCAGGGCAGAATTTACAGTGACAGTAGATGAAGTAGAAATCTCAGAGGCATTCTCAGAATCAATGTTAATTAGAAGTCAACATGGCAGATTTGCATCCAAGATGGAGTTGCTTTAGTCTTCACGCACTGTAGCCTGGATGTTCCACATTGCCCTCAACCCCTGCTGTACTCTCTCCTAAGAAACCTCCTTCCTTGACTCTGCACCTGGACACCTTTTCATCAGCACCTGGGCTTTAATACAAACATAATTTCTTCAAGGAGATTTCTGACCTCTCAGTCTGGGTTACCTGCTTCTTCCATTACATGCTTCCTTATCATTGTTTGTGCTCTCTGTAGTGCGTTACATCATACTGCATCGTAATTGCTACTTTACTTGTTACTTGCCTGTTCTACCCACTACACCACAAAGAATTTAGTTTTCAAACCATTTGAAAGCAATACCTCCCCTTCCAGAGAAGGCTATAATGAATCAGGACATAAAACTCAAAGGCAAATTAAGTAATAGTAAAACATTGTTATTATCAACTTTTATCCATTGACATTCTTATATAAGAAAATATATTTGAATTTATCAGATTATCCCACTTCAATTTTTCTGATTCTTAAACTTCTTTCACAATAATATGTAGTCTTATGAGTTCTCTGAAAAGTTTCTTATATCATTTCATATTTCTGAGTGGCATATGGTAAAGAAGTGGCCTTTAGTAAAGAAAACACAAACTATTTTGTTTTATATTCATTCATTAATAAAGATTCATTATAGGGCTTATTTTATAACTTTTGGACCTTTCAACACAGTTAAAGAAAATTCTGGACTTTTTCTATTTAAGTGATGCATGCTTATTGATTTTTTAAAAATTAGTTAAGAAGAAAGCATTACTTGTTGACTACACATTTTTGTTGAATTTTTTGGTTATATCACTTTTGTTTGAGGGACAAATATTTATTAAAGAAGATTGAAATTTATGTGTTATGACATCAACAACAGATAAATTATGGAAGCAGAAATTATTTACTAGAGCTAAAATAATTATCTGGTTATGTTTTTTAATGATAAAAGAATACAAGCAATGGTCTACACATTGCAAGTAAAGATCTGCTTCATTTTTCTCAAAATAAAAACCAAAATTGAAAATGACTTTCATTACACTTTCTGTTTGTAACATGAGTTTAAAATACTAGTGACATCTTGATGCCTGATAAGAGGATTTTGATTAGATGCATGAAATTTTCAGATTATAAAGATCATTATAAGCAACTGTTCAGAATGATTATATTTTATACTTTACACACACACACACGCACATCTGTTACTTTAACACAATGAAATTTACTTGACCTTTGTTATAGTCCAATGTATGTGTTCCTAGTCAGCCTGCCATCTTCCATGTGGTTATTTGGGGACTCAGACTAGAGCCTAAGAATCCTCTGCCTATGGCGAGCAGATGAAGAGAAGAAACCAGACAACGTACATTGTCTGTAAGTGAGAACAAGTTACACAGCCACACTTGACCGTAAGGGGTGCTGGGAAATGCAGTCCTGGCCTAGGTAGCTGCCTCTCAGTGACAGGTTTGAAAGAAGACACACAAATATTTGGTAGACAGTTGCCATGTCTACTGCAAAGAGAGAAAGAGAGAAAAAGAGAGAGACAGAGAGAGAGGGAGAAAGACCATAAGCATGTATATATTTTTGATGTATAGTTAAAGGATGTGACTTTACTAGTAACAAGTTTGTGTCACTTCTTGATGATCTGATAGTACACCACAAATAATTTAGTTTTCAAAAAATCCTCCAGAAAATGATGTTGAAAGTACTTAATGTAAACTCCCCATACAAATGTGTCACACACGAAATTCTAACTTGAATTTAGGAGGAGGACACCAATATCTCATAATTGCATGATACTGTATTTATTTTGTGTTTATTGGAGATTTGGGATACTTTTTTATAAGAATGAATTTGAGCAAATATTAGATATTCATTATACAACATTCCAGCTTAAGTCGTCAAAGACTCTATATTGATACAGACAACAAATTTATGTGCTCTATGTCAGTTAGTTGTGTAGCTTCCAGGTGTGTGCTGTCTTATTACAGGGAAGAGAAGCAGTAGGAACTAGGGCTGAAGATGCTTGTTTTCACGCAGAAGAAAAGATCTGGTTTAACTCTCCAGACAGGACCCAGTTCCACCTCCTCTCTTTACATGAATGAATAACTGAAAGCCGGGGTTTTGCAGAGTTATCTTTGTATACCTCCGGTCACAGTGCCTGGGAAGTCATAGGCACATTAGTTTTCTAACAATGAGTTACAACTTACCACAACTTATTGGCTCACACCACTACCCATTCATTATCTCATAGTTCTGTAGGTCAGAAGGAGGGAGAGATTCAACTGGGTTCTCTGCTTAGAGACTCACATGACCAAAATTAAGGAATCAGGCAAGCTGTCCTGTTATCTGGAAGCTCTGGAGAACAACACACCTCCAAACTCATTCAGGGTGTGGGCCAAATTCAGTCCCTTGTGCTTGTAGGACTAACATCCCCATTTCCTTGCTGGCCTGTTTTCTTTGCCATGTGGCTCCCTCCATCTTCAAGCCAGCAGTAGTGCATCAAATCCGCACATTTGGAATCTCTCTGACTTCCTCCTCTGCCACCAGGAGAAAACTCTCTGCTTTCAAAGAACCCATGTGATTAGGTTAGGCACACCCAGTACTCTCTATTTTAATGTCAACAGATCAGTAACCTTATATCTGCAAAACACCTTTTGCCACATAGCATAACTTAATCAAAGGAGTAACACCACGTAACAAGGGGCATGGGAGTCATGATAGAATTCCACTTAGCACAGTAGAGGTAGGGTTTGTAACTCCTCCCACTGTAGTGCTTTGTAGTGGATATCACCTTGTGGACAAGGAAGAAATTCTTCCTGATGTCCAAGGTACAGGGGTATGCCTTATGTAGATTAGCACTACTTGTCCCAAAGCAAGCATAATATTTCTCCTCTGCATCATACAGGGAACCTCCTACTCTCGGATTTATACTGTTGTACCTGGAGAAGCTTCCTGAGACAAGTTGACCTTTCTGTTCAATTCCTAGCACGTTTCTACTTAGGGATCAATTAGTCAAAATTCCTTATAAGTCTTCAAAACTTCTTTTCTTCTCTGTCTAAACACCTCCTTCTAGGTAATCTCAACCTGACCCCCAGTTTTAAATACAAGTATATACTGTGACTATACTATATAGTTCTGATTCCTTTTCTGAAATCTATTCTACCTTCTTGAGATGTCCACCTGGATATTTATAAGATATATAATCCTTCACTCTTATTTTCCACATACCCTAAAACTGCTCTGAGCCTTCTCCAAACCAGTAATTGGCAATACCATCAACCTAACTTTTTAAGCCAAAAGCATGAGTCATTCTCAATTTCTCTCTTTCTCTCCCTCTCATCAGAATTCCATCAGCAAGTCTTATCTATGCTATGTCGAAAATATGTTTCAAAGCCATCTATTTCTAAATAATTGAATTACATTATCACTATTTTGCAACTGCTAATTTAGAGATCTGAGTGATGATTATCAACAATTGTTAACATCCAGGAAAGAGACACTCAGATATTGTGTGCCTCCTGATGGAAGGACATTTGGCAAAGAAAAGAAAAAAAAATTAAACCTGAATCCAATTAAACTTTTAGCTCTAACTTCTTACAGAAAACACAGGGGTTAGAGGAACACATAAAATAACACCCTTATGATGCAATTAGGTAAGTCCAAATTGACAAACACTCTTAATGAAGCCACACAAATTCTTTAATGAATAAGTTACAAGGAAAAGAAAATAACAAGAGAGACATAAATGTGACATCAACTAAATGCAATATATGAACGTAAGAACCTTGACTCAAATAAATCATTAAAAAGTCATAAGACAAAGAAATTTGAACACTGACAGGATATTTGATAACACTAGGGTAGCGGGGAATAGAGAATGAAGAGAGGA